TTATTAAAAGTCTCATTAAAAACGATATAAACTGAAAAAAATTTTTAAATGCATTTCCAGATTTAGCATTCGATTTTTGAGTAATATATTTTAAATTATCATCATTAATTAATTGAGGATTTTTGATAATTATCAACACTCTTTATACACCTTATATAATGATAATATTTAGACCTTTTCTCTCTTTCTTCTCATACTTAACTCATCATACTTCTTAAACTTTTCCTTACTTACTGCACACTTATTTCTTTGCACAAGCGTTTATACTCCATGCAATCTTCTCTCCTTTTGCTTTTCTGTCGTACTTTGAATTGCTTTTTCTTACATTCTATGATTTTTTGAACATCCTCATCCCACCACCAGGTTTCCTTATTACCTGGCATTCTATTCTTGCTCTCACCAACAATTTCATTTGCAGTATTCATTACACAACTAGCAAATCTATTCCACACATTATTTATGTCTCCCTCAACATTCCACACAGTTCTCTCTTCTACTGTTTTTACGAACTCTTTTTCATTATCTGCTTTCAATTTCCACCATTGGATCTTCGATTTTCCCCCCGTGTTTCTACTATTTTTATTTATTCTCTTTCCAGTATACCACGACTCCATTGCCATCAGGCTATGTTGTATAGTTACACTCTCGCCTGGTATAACTTTACAATCTTATACTCGTTTTACACTATCTCTCTTCCGCATAAAATAATCACCCTGTGATCTATTCCTCCCACTCTTATAAGTTATATAACGCTCTTCCCTCTGTCTAAAATAAGTATTAACCACAGTAAGATCATACGATACTGCAAAATCCAGGATTCTTTCTAAAGCCTCATTTTCCCTACTAAAATCATACTCTACATGTACTCTTTCATATCCTCTACTTTCATTACCAACATGTCAAGTCATATCTTCACCTATCACCGCATCCTCATTGCCAAGTATCCCTAGCAATACATCATCCATATCTCTCCAAAACACTTCCTTGTTTATTTCATTACATCCCACTTGTGGTGCATAGGTTCTTTTTTACATTCATCACTTTTTCTTCGAATATGGTCGAATTTTCAACCATAATTCTGTTACTTTTCTTAGCTACTTCTATTACTTTACTTTTATTTCCTCATACATTATTATCCGTATACCATTCTTTGTACTAGACTTATCTGTGTATATAATTTCATAACCCTCACCTAGTTCCCTTGATTTCTCTCCTTTCCACTTAGTTACCTGCATACAACATATGTTAATTATTCTTCTCTTCAATACTTCTACTAATTCTCCACTTCTTCCAGTTAATGTTCCAACATCCCAAGAACCTATTCTTACTTTGTATCTATCTTTCTCCCTTATACACAAGTCCAGCCTAGAGTTAATTGGTGATATCCCTACACTGTTGCCACTGCAAGCGTTGGGTAGACTTGTACACATGAGTGGTGGTGAAACAACTACCACACAAGTTGTCGAGCTGGTATCAAACACTTTATTCCTTAGGCCTTCTCCGTTTTTAATTACTTTATTCCCTCTCGCCTTTTGTCACCTCGTACATCCGAAATGGGACAATTCGCCTATGTTTTGTTCAGGACACCTCATACTATTTGACGAAAATTTTTACGCCAATTGTCAACCTAACGCAACCTCATAAGTCGCCTCTTACAACTGGCAGAGGGGCCATGGAAGTATTCTTATCCCCCATCCACAGGAAAACAGCAATTCAATAAATAGTGAGGAAAATATCCGAGGACTTCATCCTGATTACATTGCAAAAGGGAACAAAGTTCAGGTTTAATTTGTAAGTGAATGCTGGTAAAATGTTAAAACCCAGTTGTGAAAAGCTAGAAATAATATTGCGAGTAAGATATAGTTGATAGAACCACAGTTCAAATAACATTTATATAGAAATACGAAATCAAAAACATAAAAAAGAGTATATTGTACAAAACTAGCATATTTTTGAATATGGTAGCCATTTCCCCATGAAGACAATATAAAGTTGGAGATTGCTTTCTTAACTTCGATGGGAAGGTATTTTTTTACAATTATGTGTTTTTTTTGTGTCTCTTACTACTTTTTCTCAGCTTTCACATGATTGTTTTTTTTAACCTGAAGTCAAAATATCACAAATCGTATATAGTTGAAGAAATTTCCCTTAAAAATTGTAAAAAATTTTCCTCGTTGCCTGTAAATGGAGAAAATTTCAATTTACAAAATCAATAAATGTTAACATTTTTTCCTTTTAAAGCTACCATAACTTTTTAAAAATTGAACGTACCAAAATAATTGTTTTTTATATAAAAACCTTAGGTGTTTTCCTTTTATTTGATTTAATTTATTTGAAAAACTGATCCTCTACCTGCCCATTGGAGGGAATTCAAAATATCAATTTCTGCACAGAAATTAAACTTTTAAAAAATGTTATAGATATACTACATCCTTTAAAAATATGTTAATTTAATACTAATGTTAGGCACTACAGTTCAAAAAAAATCATTTGTCTTGAATAATCTTCTATGTGCAAATAGTTGCCGTATTTAAAAAAAATGTAATTTCCATGCAAATTTCATACTTAATTTTTTCAATTTTAAATTACTATAAGGTTTTGAAAAATGTATACATCAATTCATATTTTTTTTTCATATATACATAATGTTTATTTCTCTCATTTGACATAATTTTTTTTAATTCGAATCATTTTACTTTATAAATAGGGGCTTTAAATCTTTAAAATTACGAGTAATATATTGAAATTTTTCCAACTTAACTTTAGATAATGTTTTGGAAATTTTCCGAGCTTTAATTATATGTCAAAGTAAGGGTTATGATGAATACTATAAGTTAAAAAAAACGGTAGCAAAGTTGGGTCGTGGTATAATATAGTTGTGGCATAGTGTGACAAGTATAGATGATATCTGACAGTGGTTAAATTCGCCATTATAAAAAAATACTTTATAACAAATTTGTAGATAGTGTTTAATTTTAAGAAATCGGTGGATTATTCCAAAAGCATAATTAACTCCTATATTTTCTTATACTTCGACTGCCATTTGCATATAGACAATAAGTTGTCGGTACAATTTTTTTTTTTTTGAACTTCTAGTACATAAAATAAGCTTCATTTTAACATATATTTAACTGACGCATTATTCGTGGATTATTTTCAAAAGTAAAATTGAAAAAAATTTTTAAAATTTAAAAAAGCTTTTCTTAACTTCGAAGAGGAAAAATAATAATAATAAGTAAAATTTATATTTAATGTAAATTTTATTTTTATTAGTGGCCATAAAACTAAGGCAAACCCTTATAAGGTTTTTAAAAATAAATAAAATTTTAACACAAAAATAGCATGTTTTCTTAATTACGGCAGCCGTTTACATAAAGAAGATAATTGGTCGAGACAATTTTTTTTTTTTTAATTTATAGTACGTAACATAAGCTTAAATTTGACATATGTTTAAAAGACGCAGTATTCCCAGAACACTTTCAAAAGTTACGTTGAAAAAGTTCAGTTTTGTAAAAAGTTGTTATTTTGAATCCCCTTTTGTGGCGAGGTTAAGGGACAGATTTTCAAAAATATTATATCAAATTAAAGGGAATTACTTAAAGTTTTAGTTTTAAATAATTATATTTATTTGTTCATTTTTCAATAAGTAAAATCAATTTTTAGAAAAAAAATGAAAAAAATGTCGAATTTTACCGCTTTTAAAAATCGTAATTTTCGAGATTTCAGCCATTAACGTAGAAAGAATGGTAAATTTTCAATTTTTGAGGATAATGTCTTCAACTAGATACGATTTTTGATCTTTTGACGTGTCGTTGAGAAAAATCTGTCCAGTGAAAGCTGAGAAAATATAGTGACAGACACAAAAGAAAATAAACACATCATTGTTAAATTAATACCTTCTCAGCTTTAATACTTTTGTAATAATACTAATAAAGTACTAGGACACCGATAATAATTTTATTACATTATTAGAAAAATAAGGTCTTCAAATCTATAACATACATTGCTTTATATTTTACTGTCTCTTATAAAATCTACCCTTATGATTTGCACCCAGAGCTAGCCACCTTAAATCTAATATTAAAAAAACTATATTCAAATTTATTTATTACAATACCTTCAACTTTGTCTACGTAATAGCTAAAATATTTTCTACAAAGTGGACATTTATTTTCATTTCTAATTAGTAGTGTATCAGCACATGTTTTACATAAACAGTGATGGCATTTATTCAATATAACAAGTAAATCAGGTTTTTCTAAACAAATTGGACATTCTTCAGCAGCATCTAAAAATGCTTATATAAAACAAATGTTTCCATATTGTTTAGAATAAATATATTTTTTAAATACGAAATATGTCTTATTCTTAATATTTATTATTGAATCATGCTCTGCATAATATATGCTCCTCGTCTACGTACGTTATAATTAATTATTTAAATAATAAACAACATTAACAATAATTCCTAATTTTTTTAATAATAGATCTTCAGTTTGTAATATTATAATGAAATTTATTATTAGGAAAAGAAAAATTTAAAGAGTAATTATATTATATTTATTCACTCGCAATTTTCCTATAAGTAAAAATAATACAAATAGAATTTATTTTATTTAAGGAAAAAAATTTAAAATAATTTTTTTTTAATTTTCTATTAATTTTTAATACAATTTTTTTGTCAATGATTATTTCCCTTATGTACCTTTTCGTTTTAGATATAAAATAATTAATATTTTCTGAACTAAATGCTTAAAAATGTTCCGTACGGTATTTTTTATAGAAAAATTATTTTACAATATATACAGTGAATGTGATGTTGTTATTAGTGTCTTTTATAAGTTACTAAAGATGGTTTTAAATATTACTTCATTTAAATAAAAAATTATGTACAATTAATAACATGACAAGACTAAAATCTGAATATTGTTCTTGTTTCAGAGATAATTGAGTAGTTCTCAAGAATAAAGAAATTATACTTTAATGTCAATGAAACATACCTGAATTTATAAATGTTATATTATGATTTAAATATTCATTAAAAGATTCTTCATCACGAAAAAGTTTTTTAATGTCATCATTTGTATTTATGCTCTAGATTTATAATATATAAAACAATTTAATATATTAGTAATAATTATATTTTGTATTATGTATTTTAACATACTAAACAAATGTTTTTTTGTAGTGATGTACTAAATTTTGTGTCTCCACATATTACGTTAGACAATACTTTGTATAGATCTTGATATCTGTACTTTTGATAATAAGCTAACACAAATGGCGTATCTGTTATAAACGTATGTCCCAAGCTTTCACATTTATTTTTTTTCCATTCTTCATCAACTGGATTGAATTGAAATTTAAAATTTAATTTCTCTCCATAACATTCCATTTCTGTTTTATTATTCATCTTAACACTTGTTAAATATGTTATTCCCTGCAAATAATAAAAAAATTCTTAACATAATTATCGAGATGAAGATCAAAGTATTATATATACTCAGTACATTTACGTCATATCACATAGGGTTTGAACTCTTTCTTGTAAGACATTATTAATATTGAATTATAGACAACTGAATTATACATTGACACTCATTATACAATGAGTGGTGAATGTATTATTATAATAAATCTTAAAATAAAGATGAACAAGAATTATTCTTATCAGCTAATTGTAACGACTGATATTATTGCTGAATATTAAATGGATCAATTGAAATCAAACGCAATTAATGATCAACGTGTTCTATAACTGTTGATTGATACTGTGATTTATATCAGAAAACAAGAAGTCCAAAAGGCAATTTACTGAGAGCGCAATAGGGTGCTACAATCGCAAAGATGATATTTTACTTTTTATAAAAAACTATGGTCTCGCAAGTTCTATAGATGTTATAGCTAAAACACCCCACATAGCAATTTTAATATATTAATATTGTCAAAATATTCTTACAAAATACTTTTTAAAATATTTTGAATAAAATATTGTGACAATATCTCTTAAACATAATAAAAAATATATTCTATTGAAATATTTTCATAATATGCTCACAATATAATTTTTTAAATATTTGTTTATGTATATTTTGATAATATATTAAAGAGAATAAATACAGTATATTACACCGAAAATATTTCTACAATGTGCTTAAAAAATATCTTTTTAAATATTTGCTTATAAATATTATGAAAATATATTAATTAAAATAAATATAGAATATTTAACTTGAAATATTTGTTGAATATATTATCAATATAATTTTTTAAATATTATAAATATATATCTTGTTGGCCAACTGAGGTAACTTAAGAGACACAAGCCATCCTCTTTTCTCCCTTTAGTTACATCTTTGGATGATATTGGTATCTTGTTATATAATACTTATGTATTATATATACATATTCCTAAATCTTTAATAAGTAAACAGCCATTTTCTCTAATTAGTATCAATTTTAATTAACTTAATTCAATTAAGCTAAGTAAGTTAGGGACAGTAAAAAACCCTTGTTGCTATTATTTGCAGGCCTATCGAGTTAAAATTTTTTTAGTTTTATCAACGCAATTATATCTTATTATTGTCCTGTGAAACTAAAAATCCTAAAAAGTTTTTTTATTATAGTTAGAATATATTTCTATATTATCAACAATAATAGTCAGTTTCTAACTTACAAGGAGAAATCATGGTGATGGGATCGCCGATTTTCAAAAAAATTATATGAATCTAATCTAAATTGAATATAAAATTGTATTTACTTTGAATTTTTTTAAACAAGAAAAATTACTTAACAGACAAATAACCATTTAAACTACCTTAAATAGTCTTTTTTATCCTATTTCTTTCGAAGCAACCTGTGGGTCAATGGGTCACGTACGACTCCAAAGCGCTAGGAGTACAGGGTTCAAATCCCGCGTAGCGATCTATTTTTTGCATTTTTTTAATATATTTATAAAACATTTTAAAAATATTGTCACAATATATTTTTTATAATATTTTAGAAATATACCTTTAAAATATTGTGAGAATGTAATATTCGCTGCCAAAGTATATTCTGAAAACATTGTGAGAATATTCCAATATATTCTGGTTATATTCTAGAAATATTTTAATATCAAAAATAAATATTCTAGGAATATTCTAGAAATATTTCATTGCTATGTGGGACGCTAAGATGGTGGCAAAAATGCAGACATAGACAGAAGACCGACAACAACTCAGTTTAACACAACGATAGCTTAAATAATCACAACTCAAATTCTTGACAGCACATTCGATCTATGTGTATCCAACACCAAAATTGTCCAAACGCTAGATCGCCTAATATTTTATATCATTATAATACTTGCAATTATTTCATCGTCACTATGTTTATTTGTATATTAAGGAGCCTCACATAAGCCTTTATGCCGTTGATTCCAGTATGAGTACACGTTTACGACGGGCACTATAAGAGTTTTGCAGGGAAAATATAACATCTGAATCAGTGGAAGAAAAATATATTAAAAATTAAATTATTAAAACCAGGAAATTTTAAAAAGAGAATATAGTAAATTTTATTGTGTATAAGGTCGACGTTTGTTAATGAGGTATTCCACTTAGGCGTATTCAGCAATTATTTTAGGAAGGTATTTAATATAATTTTACTTTTTTAAATATACTAAAGAATTTTGTTTTGCTAAAAATCAAAATGATTATTTAAAAAAACGGTAACACAGTGGGATCGCGCCACAGTGTGAACGAGGCATAGATGGGACAAGTATAGATAATATCTGACAGTGATTAAAATCACTATCATAAGAAACCCTTCGATGCAAATCTGTAGATAGTGTTTCATTTAGAGAAATTGGTGGATTATTCCAAAAGCAACATCAACTCTTATTTCTTTAATTATATCCTGATTAGTAGTTCTTTGATTTTAAAATATAATATATGAATAAATACTAATTATAGNGATTTTAAAATATAATATATGAATAAATACTAAATATAGCTTTTAATTTTAGTATGAAATTGTGAGGCCAGTTATGATGTGTGGTTCATAGTGTTGGGCGATTGATAAGAAAGTAGAGCAGAGAATACGTGTAGCAGAGATGAGAATGCTTAGTTGGATGAGTGAAGTGACTAGAAAAGATAGGATAAGGAACGAGCATATAAGAGGAAGTATAGGTGTTGCGTCAATCGTGGATAAGATGACAGAAAATAGACTTAGATTGTTTAGTCATGTAATGAGGAGAGAAGAATCGGAAGCTGTAAGAACAGTTATAGAAATGAATGTTGAAGGAAGAAGAGATAGAAAGAACCAAAAAAGAGATGGAGGGAAGCTATTGAATGCGATTTGAGGACAGCTGATGTGTCAAGTGGAAGCTTAAGATAAGGGTGGCCGATTCCATGTAGTTGGGATTAAGGCAAAGAAAAAGAAAAATAATTCCGGTGGCAGTTGACATAATATCATTGTTGTTTCGGAATGTACAATTTAGCGTTTAGTTGGGTTTAAACAATATAGCGTCAAATCAATTTCCTATTCTATCGGTTGTATATTAATAAACACTACACTTTAATGATACAATAAATAAATAAACTCACACATACACACATATGCATTTATAACATTGTGTCTAATGTAAGTATAACATGATAAAAAGTAACCGTAAAATGAAGAAAATGTAATATAAATTTTAGTACTCCTATTAAATGTAATGTAACTCGAAAAATATTTGTTTAAATGAAAAAATATAATTGTCTATTAAACAACTATTGTACGAAACTTTTTTTTCTAAGTTATATATTTTTTGAGAAAATTAAAAAAGCTCATATTTTTGAAATTTTGCGAGGCTGTAATAAAAAAGCTCAATTACAATCAATAAGGACTATTAGTATGTCATTATACATATTTTAATTCAACTTTTAAAAAAACAAAATTTGTTTGGAAATTTTTTCCGCAATTTTTCCTTTGTTGACTGGCCTATATGTCAATTTTAAACTTGTAATTGAGCTAAAAGTTATGGTAGTATATTCAATTTTTTTAACTATAAACTTTCATAAATCTTTATCAAAAATTTTTTATCAACTTTAAAAAACCAAAAAAATAGGTTAAAATTGAACATTTGGACTGATTATTTTTAACATATTAAAAATCAAATCAGTAATAATTTGAAAACAAATTTTTTTTCCTTTTAATTATTATTTTATATATATAATTAGTAATAATATAAAAAATTAGAAGTGATAGAAATAGTCTACTTGCAGATTTGAAAACAACGCGAAAATTTGATTTAGAAAAGTATATTTTTGCTTCTGATGAAAGTTCCTTGTAGTCC